TCGATGTTAACAATTTTACTTAGTTACTTACTGCTGCCCTTCTCTCCTAGTGGAGCATAGAACCTTACCTCTTAATACCTCTAAATCTTACTCTGTTGTCTGCTTCTCTCGTAACTTGATTCCAGGAGTCTTGAGCGTGTGGCCAATCTACTTCCATTTTCTTCCTTTGATTTCAGTGGCAGTTTGTATTTGTTCGTGCATTCCCAAAGATCATTTAGCAAAACATTTGATTTTGCCGATTTAAAAAGAAATTTAATTTTTGAACAAAAATTAAAATTCAAGTTCTATTAACCGTTCTGATGTATGACTCGGGAAGAGTGATTTGCAACGACTCAAAATATTTGTGGCTAGAAAACTATTAGTAATGATAATAAGCTAGAAAGAATACAAGATCTATTCAGATAAATACATGAAAGTACGAGTTGATACTATTTTGAGGTGACCAGATTTTTAGGTGGGCAAAGCGGGACAACTCTGAAAAAGTTTCAAGACTTAATTTTGATTTTTCTAATGTCCACACTTGTTTTACTGTAGAAAAAACACGTTCAGTTGCAGCGTTAGTTCCAGGTAAAGATAATGTATATTAGTTTGATTGACTTAAAATATTTGCAAAATTTTATTTGTGTTTTTATTTCTAAAATTTCTTTTAAGGTTAAGATGGTGATATACTTTTTGTCATGAATATAAAATATGAAGACTACGAGTATTTTAAGCTAAGTTTAAGAAATTTATGTATTTATGAAATATATAAATAAATTACTTATCTTAATTTTCTATGGTAAGTAGCAGATTTGTAATATTTAATTGTTTAATTAGCTTGCTAGCATGCAGTACGAACACGAACTGTATCATCTGAGAGACAAATACAATGTAACTGGGTAGCAAAAGCAATATATTAATCGTCGTAGCCCGTATGATTCCTAGAACGCAAAACAAATTGAAGGATTCTTAGAATGCAAAACAATGATTCTCATAAATATAAAATTTAACTTAATTCTAAAAGTCCGGATTTTTGAAAAACGTCACGGGACGCGGGACAAATAGTAAATAATCGGGACTGTCCTGCCGAAAGCGGGACGTCTGGTCACCTTATACTATTTGGAAATCAGGTACGCAGTTTAGGAATGAAGCACATATAGTGAACATATATAGTTTTAGGTGCATTCTGACCGGAAGAGAACAATTAGCAAGGAATCAAGCAAATCTTTCAATGAATTATTAGTTCTAGTGCGTTATAAAAATATAAATAATATAAATAATGTTTTTTTATAATATAATTACTTACTCTCCAAATTCCAGCAGTTGAAAACGACTAAACTCGTTAAATGAAATTTAAACAAATTATAAAATATGAAATTTATTAATGCCAAGTCAACAGCCATTTATTCAGACAAAAATTCAATGTTAAGCCTAAAAATATTTGTAAATGATATAAAAATATTTAAAAATTTCATGCTTTTATATAAATTTTATTCTCAGAAATATAATTTGTATTTCATAAATATTTTATTGTTTTTTCCACAAGTGCATTGAGTTAGTTTAACTCTTGTAATATTTATAAAGATTTTATAAATTTCGACAATTTAATTTCTTAATAAAATGCAACCGTCAATACAATCGCTGACATCTTTACGTGACAACCTTAAAAATCTATACACAAAAAAAAAATATTTTATATATAATCACGGCTGGCGTAATATCCTGTGAAAAATCCTACATCCTTTTTTTGTCGATTTTCATTTTGATTGTCAATATTGTTGTCAATTTAATTTATTGGCAATCGTTGACATTGTATTGCAGGGCTTCGTATCCCAAATTAAGGGCTTCATTCGATTGTCATGTTATTATGTCAACGGATTAATATGTTTTTATCCTTGATTGCAAAATAATTATATTAAAAAACACGAAATTACAATGTGCAGAGCAAAATATTAAAATATAGAACACTAAGGAGAGAAATTGATGAACCACGTATTATTTTATGAATAGTGGAAGGAAAGCGGAAGGTTTTTACTTTCAAGCATAATAACAAGAAAATCATATTTTATTATTATAAGTAAAAAAAATATTTATACTGAAAAGTTAAAAGTCCTATAAACTACCTTTTCTCTGCTATTTCCTTTAATTCTTTTTAAGTGATTATACTCATAAATATTTAATAAGGTAATTTTTAAATTCAGTTCACACTCTGTTAAATCCAGCAATTAAGTTTAATATTTTGTTTTTTTTTAAATCCCTTTTCCAAATTTAGATATCTACATAATCATTATAAAACGTAGGTTTATTACTATAAAGATTTATAATTTGTAAAATTGCATTTAGATTATTTAAAATGGAGTAAAAGGAGACATTCTCATACATGGGAGTCAGAAGTAAGATGTATTAATAACAAAAATACACCGGGTTCTGACAAAATTGATGGTCTCACTTAAAAAACCTACCGCTAAAGTGTATTCGATCTTTAACATATGTGTGTTCAGTGCAATACTCATACTAGACTACCACTCAAGTCAATGGAAATGTGTAGAAATTATGATTCCAAAGCTAAATAAGCCTGCAATCGAGCTTTCTTCATATCGTCCTAATAGCTAGCTGCCAATATTATCTAAAGTATTTAAAAAAATACTTGGGACGGGAATGTTGTGTTAGATGAAGTTTCTATCATAACTGAATACCATTTTGGGCTTAGAAGAGGAAATGGAACTCCTTTGCAATGCCACAGAACAATTGGCAAAATTATTATGGCTTTAGAATGTAAAAAATATTGTACAGCAGCATTTTGAGACTTTCACCAGGCATCTGATAAAGTATGCCACGATGGGATTTTATCCAAGTTAAATCTCATCGTACTATTAGCTAATTAAGTGAACTACGTTACTACTCATAGCAAAAAAGTGAAAACTCTTCATTGCAACTTATAAAGGTAAGCGTTCTCTAAGAAAGCGCTTTAGGACCCGTTCTGCACAAGTTAATAATAAATTTGTAACGTACTACCATAGCCCAAGTAAAAGTGAACGAAGACACTTTTATGAAATTGAAAGCTACCAAATCCAAACGGGACTTTTCCAGAAAAACAGGTTGATGTCCCGTTTGGCAGCAATCATGCGTTCAGGGCCGGAACGCAGGAACCGGATTCAAAAGGCTGCGAGTGTTAACTTACTAACTTTCAATTTACAGCTGATATGCCTGTTAATAACGTTAAATAACGTTACTGTGGCAACGTACACAGATGCTATTATAGCTCATCCATCTTAGAAGCTTTTCAGCAACTACTGTCTGAGTTTAGACTGATTGAAGCAGGGATTCAACGGTGAAAAATTAAAGTGAACGCTCAGAAATCAGAACTTTTACTTTTTACTTTATTACTTTTTATTACCTTACACAGAAGATAAAATTTTCCCGCATTCTACTCTAATGGATCAGCGATTCCACAGAATAGATCTATGAAATATTTTGGTATGCACCTTGATCAAAACCTTATCTGGAACACCCACATAAAAGCCAAACGGAAACAGTCAATACAGTTTATATAAAGTCAAAGCGAATGCAATGGCTAATGTTTCAGAATAATTTTTTTATGTTGAATTTTATGTCAATTTATCGTGCAAAATTGATATTATTAGGCTTCACATAATAAAGAATCTATTTAAATAGAAAAAAAAGGGAATATACAACAAAAAATAAATTTTTACTAACAAAAACTTTTTCGGTTTTTGTTTTTGGAAATATCTATTGGTTTCAAAACTTAATTTACAAGTAATTTTTGAACTACCAGGTATTAAATCCTGCCATATAAGAAGCACATATTCAAACGTTGGACCAAGGCACTAACGTCACCTTTGATTTACATTAAATAATCTTTGTTTCGCTATTTTTTATCTTGAGAAAAGTGCAGTTTCTGTTCCGACTTTGAAAGAAAACCATAACCCAAACCTATACATATGCACGTAATAAATATTATTGTTTTTAAAAAATTGTAATTTTTATTTATACGCCGATTCTTTTAAATCCAAAATGATCTAATATATATTTTAATTTTCTTCTTATTTTTTATATTATAGACTATTTATTTCATAATAAAATATAAAATAAAATTACAAGGACACTTGTTTTCTATATGCAGTTCACTCTAATATTTATATTTAATTGGAACAGATCCGTACTTGTTATGTTACACAAAAAAGGTGATATAAACTCACCCGAAAACTATAGAGGCATTGCTCTATGCAATATTATCTTAAAAATTTTTACCCATATTCTGCATGATCGCCTCTTGCCATGGGCGGAACAACACAATAAAATTCCTGAGTCGCAAAATGGGTTTAGAAAAAAAAGATCATGTACTGATAATATTTTTACTCTTCAAACAACAATTCAATTACATCTACGTCTAAAAAGTAACTCTGCTTACGGACTTTTTATTGATTTCAAAAGGGCATTTGATTCTATTGACCAGATGCTGCTCTGGCAAAAACTTCATTCGCAAGGTATAAGTTCGCGCCTAATTAAAATTCTCCAATCTATTTACGACAAGGCTTTCTTCGTGATCAAACTTCAACAAAAAGACTCCGATCCTATCTCTGTTACTGAAGGCGTTCTCCAAGGAGAAATTCTCAGTCCTCTCCTTTTCATATTGTTTATTGCTGATCTTGAGAAAGAACTAAGGAATGCAAATATTGAAGGGATCAATATTAATGGTCTACACGATATTTTGATGCTGCTTTTTGCAGATGACGCCGTTGTTCTAGCCAGGTCCCCTATTATTTTACGAAAAATTCTATTAGCACTTGAAAGCTACTGCGAAAAAAACAAACTTGTTGTAAACACGGAAAAAACCCAAATTGTCCACTTTAGAAGAGGGGGAAGGCCAATAGCAGAAAATTTCTTTTACAAATGTCAAAAAAATTTCTGTCGTGAAGTCCTACACATACTTAGGAGTAAATTTCTCAAGCTCCACATTAGGCAAATGTGCAGCAGAAACTGCCATAAGAAAAGGGAAAATGGCGCTCGGTACGGCAATACAAACTATAAGTAAATTTAAATCTGATTCTTGGGAAGGTCGGGCTAAACTTTTCGACTGTACTGTATCCGTAACACTTTTATACGCATCAGAAGTGTGGGGTCTACGTTACTGTGAATCACTAGAAATCGTTCAATCAACGTACTACAAACGTTTGTTAGCACTCCCCCAAGCTACGAACAATGCAGAACTTAGACTTGAACTAGGCCTTGTAAAAATCTCATATAGAGTTTTCAAACGCGCAATCGATTTCATTATACGAATTCTCCAAATGGACCAATCAAGATATCCCAAACAATGTCTCCTTCGTCTCATTTACCTACACGTAAATAATTCTTCTACAAGTGAATTTAATTGGGTTACACAATTTAATGAGTTTCTTAAAGTTGTAAATATGACAAACTTGTGGAAAACACCGACTGCAGCAACTTGGATTGATAACCGAACTACGGCCCTTGAACGCTATCATAGATATCTTAAATTCAAAGACTTTCTAAAATCCGCCAACTCACAATCCATGAATTGCAATTTATTAAGAGCCCTGGATGACAAACCTGCCTGCTACCTCTTTGACCGTAAGCAATTTTTTATGGCAAAGGTTATCGCCCAATTGCGGTTGTCATCAACTCACTGCACTCGTTTTTGTATTAACGGGCAAATTCATAGACTCGAAATCAACAACCTTTGTACACTTTGTAATTTAAAAACTGAAGAAACGTTGAATCACTTTATGTTTGAGTGCCCTATTTTACTCCTCAGTAAGAGATCACCATCTTAGTTTCTTACTTACAGTCTTTAGAGACAATAAATCTCTCATTTTCAACTGCATTGATCCGCAATCATCTAAAGCAATATTCACATATATAGTAAATAGTCTTAAAATCAGATCATTTATTATAAACGAATAAGATTTTGCAAAATTACAATTATTTCCCTACTATTTATTTAACTTAACCTTTTTTTTTGTTTTTATCTAATATTTTTATTAAATCTAATTAGTAATATTTTTAATTTAAATTAAAAATAAGTATACA